GGTGGGGAGAGTCTAGCCCTCGAGGAGGTTAGGTGCAACCGTGCTACGGTCCAGCCTTCCTCTGAGGTTAGGTACGCCCATGCCACTGATGGGGAAACGGAGGCAGGACAACTTGTTAGGGGTAGAAGCAAGTTTCCCAAGGCCCAGGGCTGGGCCTCCATGGGTTTTTATGGTTTTTACTGAAAAGGCAGGGAGGAGAAAGCTTGGATGGCTGCGGTTACAGCTAGGGTAGGAGAGTGGGAGTGGGTGCCTGGACGAAGAGAATAGAGCAGGCCCTGGGGGCCATGGAGGGAAAGGGTAATTTAAAAGAAATCCTGCAGGGCAAGGGAGAGGTGCCCTGGGATTTGGCCTTAGTGCCAGGGAGGCGGCGGAAGAGTCTTACCTTGACCCGGTCCAGCACCACCAGAGGCCCGTTCACGCTGCACACAGTCCTGTAGGCTGGGGGAGGGGCAGGGGTGAGGAGGGGTCTCACCCCAAACACCTGCTCACACACACAGAGGCATCCTCCGCCTTCCCTTCCTCTCCACACCCCACCTCCTTCCCAGCCTGGGCCGTCAGGGTCATTAGCTGTGACAGGGCCAGCCACCATTGCTGTAAGGGTCATGCCCCTGCCCGCAGGGCCCCCGCTGCTCGGACACCTGCAGGAGGCTGGGGGAGGGCCGGGCAGAGGGCAGAGGCCTCCTCAGAGTCCGCCCCCATCACACAGAGGCCTCTCATCCCTGGGGCTGCTTCCCCTCTGGCTTCCACCCCCACCTCACCCACTCCATCCTCTCTCACTCCAAACATTTTCCAAAAGTTCCCGGCCCCCGGCTGTGGCCAAAAAGTGCCCTCCTCTGCCCTCACCAGGACTGTGTGTGTGTGGTGTGTAGGGGGTGCAGGTGTCAGTGAGAAAAACCAAATGGGGCTTCTGCTCTCATCACAAGGTTTCTGGACTCCCCAGGCTCACTGGGTGCTCAGCATGGGAGGGGAGGGAGTGCAAAGGCAGGGGAAGGAGGGAAATGCCTGCAGATGTGGCAGCTGCAGAGACCCACACATGGGAAATAAGCTCAGCTTGCACAGGGAATTGGGTTAAATGTCAAGAAACACTTCCAAACTCCCATAGAAGAAGCTGTGGACTGGCAGGAGGCAAGCCTAGTTTTGGTTCTGCTAGAGGCTGGCTGAGAGACCTGGGGCAATCCCTTGCCCATAGTCCTGGGATACCAGTGCCCTTCTCTGGGGTTCTTGTGATGCACCAATGAGATGAGACACCTGAAATGAAGGCACTTGGCAAGGTGGGCATGGGGCCTGTGAGGCCACTGGGTCAGTCACAGGCTGGCAGGATGCAGAGGGGAGTGGCCCAACCCCTCTTTCACAGGCAAGGAAAATGGGGCCCAGAAGTGTGAGAAGCCTTGGCCAGGGCCACACAGCACATCTGTGGCAGAGCTGGAGCTGGGACACCGCCTTGTGCTTCTTGCTGAACCACACTGGTTCTCGGCTCACTTACCCTCCTGCTTTGGACAAGCCTGGCCCCAAGCCACCACATGCCAAAGAAAAACCAGAAGTCTCTCCCCTTCCCAATCTGGATATCTGTGGTCAAACTTCTTATTTTTGTTTGATCTAAGCTCTTTTTACCAGGACTTGAACTAGGAAGACCGACTGGGCGCGGTGATTCTTGCACAGATCTTTACAAGGATCCTCCAAGTGTAAGAACCATTTGGAAAACTCTGGGCCTCGAGGACAGCCAGAGAAGACAAGTTCAACTTGCACTTTGCTGTAGCAGGGGAACTCCCTCAGTTCCCTGCCTTCAAAACTACCTTACAGACCTGACTGGCCTGCACCTGAGCCACCCTCTTCTTCCTTCCTATTCCCACCAAGGAGGTGTCCCTGCTTCCTTCATAGCGGGTCCTTCCTCTGCACTGGGAAACAGGCTCTAGAGATGACTCCATGGGGTGAAGGACCAGAACCTCCTTGCCTCTCTCTCTCTCTTTCCTCTCTTGTCTTCCCATGAAGCTCTGATGTTTCCAGTCCTAAAGAAACCTCGCTCAGTCCCAGTCCTTCTCCAGCTCCTCCCCTCACAAGCATGGCCCCCACTGCTGGCTTTCCTTCCTCACCTTTCACCCTCTCCTTGGCCCTGTCAACTCTGGCTTCAGTGGTCTCTGATGCTATACTCAGAGCCCGGGCACGCTGCTCTCTGGAAGATCTCCTCTGGGGCCACCCATCAGCCTCCTCTGAAGACTCACACTCACACTCCTCACTGTCAGACCTTTGGGTGCCAGAGGACTTCAAGGCTTGGCCTGGCTCTCCACTTCTCCCTCTCCTTTCCTCTGAGATCTGCTTTCTTCCTTCCCTCCCCGCTTCCTTTCTTCAAGCATATCTACTGCATGGATGCCTTCTATGTACTAAGCGAGGCAAATGAAAGTGACAAATGAAAATATGAAGTGCCTACAGGCTAAGAGGATACAGAGCAAATAACATAATTACAAACTGCAGTGGGTGCTCTTAAGGGAAAGATCAGGATGGGTGAACGAGAGTGGGAGGGAAGACCAGACTGGGTGCACTTGGAGGAAGCATCTTATGGGAAGAGCTGTTTGAGTTGAGCCTTCAGGGTCAAGGGGTGTCAGCCCCCAGGGAGCTAGGGAAAGGGCACTTCTGGCAGAGGTGAGAAAGAACTCATTCAGGGCCTTCGGGGAACAGAAAGAGGGGCAGTGGGATGGCATGCACAGGCTCACGTCAGGCGCAGTAAGACCTGTCACCTCCAAGAGGGCAAGACATCATCTGTGGTGCTCATCGCGGTGTCCCACTTCGTGGAGTAGTGCCGGGAATATGGTACACACTAAAGAAATATTTGGACAGGTACAGTGGCTCACGCCTGTAGTCCCAGCGCTTTGGGAGGCTGAGGTGTATGGATTGCTTGAGCCCAGGAGTTTGAGACCAGCAATATGGTGAAGTCCCGTCTCTACAGAAAATTAAAAAATTAGCCGGGCACAGAGGAACATGCCTGTGGTCCTAGTTCTCAGGAGGCTGAGGTGGGAGGATCACCTGAGCCCAGGGAGGTTGAGGCTGCAGTGAGCTCTGATCACGCTATTACTGCACTCCAGCTTGGGTGACAGAGTAAGATCCTGTCAAGAAAGAAAAGAAAGAAAGAAGGAAGGAAGGAAGGAAGGAAAGAAAGAAAGAAAGAAAGAAAGAAAGAAAGAAAGAAAGAAAGAAAGAAAGAAAGAAAGAGTGAGAGAGAGAGAAAGAAAAAGGAAGGAAGGAAAGAAGGAAGGAAGGAAGGAAGGAAGGAAGCAAGGAAGGAAGGGAGGGAGGGAGGGAAAGAAAGAAAAAGAAATCTTTGTGGATGGATTATGTTAACTGACCCCATCTGCTCCTTCCCATGCTTCCCACATCAGAACCGTTGTGTGTCCCCTCCTGACCTTCCCAAGCCTCCAAACCAAATGAGAGTCCTATTGTCCAGCCTAAAGGGTTGCACCCGTAGCACCAGTCATACGTCCTGAAAAGGCAGAGAGTAGAAGAGAAAGAGGATGCACTGGGCTAAGGGGTTGTTGGGTGTAGGAAGACTCCTCAACGAGAAAGGGTAGGAAACAGAGGCTTGGGCATTACCCTTCCCACCAATTAAAAAAAACCTCTAAACAGCCACAGCACTCCCACACCCACATGGTGTTTGGATCAGACTGTCTGGATCGCTAGTGGATTGTGCAAGCAGGGGAATGCGGGGCAGGCAGGAGAGACCCTCATTTTTATAAGCCCCAGGGAGAGCTGGCATCTGGCATGCCACACCTGCCAAAGGGCTGCGCTGGGGGAAGAAAGCAGTGATGAAAAGATGCAGGGTGGGTGGGCTGGATAGGGAGGTGGGGGTGTGGGAGGGGATGGGGCCCAAGGACCAGAAAAGTCGAGGGAATCATTTCTAATTCCACCGCCTCTGGAGACAAGTCTTTCAACTTCCTCCCTTCCTTCACAGCTGCTCCCCCACTTCACAACCCCTGTCATGTAGAATCCCCATTAACCCTGACATCCAGCAGCTCCACCTGGGAGTGGGGGCAGCAGCAGAGTGGTGATGGGGGACAGAGGATTAGGGGATCCACACAGCCCTTCCCTCTGGAGGAGGGGCTGGGCTGGAAGAGGCCTAGAGGCAGCTGCAAAGTACTTGCCGCAGGCCCTCTGGGAGTCAGATGCCTTCCCCGGCCAGGCCACTCGGGTGATCAGGGTGAGATATCAAAGCTCAACATCTTAGCACATCAGCCTCAGCTGTGAGTTGCCTTCCTGGGCTTCTCGCAGCTTCCAGGCCTGGCTCTGCGTGAACACATCGCTTCATAGCCTGGACCCTTCATTGCAGATAATCCACTTAGGCGGCTGTTTCTGTTCAGCACTGGACTATGTACATCCTTCAAGGCCTTGCCCCTGACTGACTACTGCAGCCCACTGGGTCCTCTCCGGACTGCTGTCCCACAGTACTATAGACAGGGACCCTAGAGGGATGATGTCTCTCCCCTCAGATGTCTTAGAGCTCTGCCCCTCCGCTGTTAGGCCAGCCTGATCTTTTCTTCTAGGCTGTTTGGTTTGGACACAGCCAAAATGGGGGCTGAGCAACAGAGGTGTCCTTGACTGCAAGCCGGTCCTTTTGTTTGTATACTGCAGCCTCCACCTCCATATGTCCCTTGCATGGAGTGGCAAAACGAGGCCCAGAAAGTGGGCTGGTTTCTCGTAGGACACACCACAGTTCAGGAGGGTATCCTGCAGCGCTCAGCGATTATGGCCACTCTGCAACCCTGGGATGTTCGCCTGGACCCTGGAGAAGGAAGCGGGTGCATTGCCACAGGCAGAGGGGCGCTCCTTCCATGGGCCTTCCAGAGACTTTGCCGACACTCCCTCCAGCTGCCCGGCCCACCCCCTCTCCATTGTCCTAGCTGACACTTTGGGTTGTGCTCCGGCCTTCTGGCTGGTGGAGCGCCTCCCTGCCCCCACCTCCCTACCGCCTTTTCTGTCAAAGGCTCAGCGGGGCTCCCGCGCGGCCCACTAATTAGCGCTGGCCCAGCCACACCTGCAGCGTCCTGGGAGAGGGCTGAGACAGGCGCCCATGCGTGAGGCCAGGGTGGGGGCAAGCCCAGGGCAGCAGGTCCTGCACCTCCTCCCCGATCCCGCTGGAGGGATTAGGGGAGGGAGGGCAGGGGCTGGAAGCTGAGGGCTCTTCAGCCCAAGACCCTGCTTGTTGGGACTCTCTCCGTGTAACTCCTTCCCCTTCCAGTTGAGGAAACCGAGGCGGGGAAGCAAAGCCAGTGGTTTGGCACTCAAGCTCCTGGGGGATCTGCGGGGATCTGACCTGGCTTCATCCCTCCAACCAGGCTGCCAGCTTGTCCTTCCTGACCTTTGCTCCTGCTGGGCACCTCCACCTGCCAAGCCCAACATCTTCTGCCCAAACAGATGAAGCTCCAGGATACCTCCTCCTCGGCTGGGAGCCAAGGCCCTTGGGGAACAATTCTAGCTCCTCCACCCTTTCTGGTGTCTCCTCCTTTCTGGCCAGTCCTCTCTCAGCCACTGCAGTGAAATCACCCTTAAAGTCTCAGGCCTCTTTAGCCCACCTGCCCAGGGAAGGGAATGCCTCTTAAGTCACCTGGACTCATCTCCACCCATGGCTGAGCGAGCCCTGGGGCCTCCTTGCCCTTAGCTCCCCCCTCCCCAGCTTTTCTGCCAGAGTTCTCCTGTCTGGGAGTGCTTACCGACCCAGGGTAGGAGGCCAGGCTGGCGGGGAGACAGGTGGAGAGGGACAGAGCAACCCTGCCTCCAGTGTACTGAGGGTGCAGCCCTAAATTTTCAAACCCTTGCCAGCCCTGCGCCTGTCCACAGGCCCCAGGGAGAACCCCCCCCCCACCCCTCCCACCCTCAGAGCCAGAGGAGGAAGCCAGTGGAGTGGGGAGGGGATTGGGAGACACTGCGGATGAAGGGACACACCGAGGAATCTGAGCATGCCCCTGGGGCTGGGAGGGCATCTGGGCTGAGCTGAGGCTGGTCCCGTGCATCCTGTGAAGACACTCGATAGGCAGCAAAAGTAAAGGTGCTGGCAGCGAGCAGAGCCTAGAGGGGTTCCCCTGCACGGACCTTTGCTCTGGGTCCCTGTTGGGTTGTTGGGTGTGAACACATTTTCCTGGGTGGAGGCCATATACAGCCAGCATCGAGGGAGGCATGCAAACATGGGGTGGCGGGGGGGACACTGCCACCCCTGGGTTCCAGCCTGGGTCAGAATCTCCAGGGAATGTTGACTATAAATAAGGGGCTGGGTGGGAAGGAGCTGACAGGAGGTGGCTCCAGGCTTGGGCCATCCTGCCCAGAGGAGTGTGGGGTTAGATGTTATCTATAGGGTCCCTGGGCATCAGGAGGTGGGAGCACATTCCAGGAAGAAGGAAAGCAGAGCATGAAGGTGCAGATCACACACCACGCTCGGCACCCAGCAGCTCCCCAGTGCCCACAGGGAGGAGGGACGGCCTGCAGGGAGTGGGGCTCATCACAACAGACTGGCAAGAGTCACACATCCTAGCTTAGGGCTCCAGGCCTGGGCTCTGGACCCAAGGGGGCCCAGTCACTGCATATTTTTGGGCCTAGGCGACCCTAACTTTGGTCTAGGGAGAATCTGGACCTCCTATCCTCCCCCAACCTCCATGGGTCAGGGCCTACAGGCCTTCCTTGAGAAATCTGACCCACCCCATTCTCACCATTTCTTCTTCGCTGGAATGTGCTCCACCCTCAGCACCTGCCTCAGGCCTCAGGAGGTGCCCCACACCCCAGGGCTCTCCTCCCATGCGCCCCTGGGCCCCTTTGCTCTGATTTCACCCCTCAGCTACCCTCCGAGTTCACGCCACCTCCTCTCCTGGCCTGGATAGTAACAGAGGAATGGAGGGAGGTGGGGTGGCTGTGTCAGGCTCACTTCCCCTCACATCACGCTCCCTGTTAGGAGCTTCTGGCTCTGCATAGCTGTGGCGGGCCACGCTGGTTTACTCCAGTGAGCCTCTGGTTCTGCATAGCTGTGGCGGGCCACGCTGGTTTACTCCAGTGAGCA